TTTTTGGTAGGACTCTACGACTAGCGCTATTCCTGATTCCGGCCGGTATGTAAGGTAGTGCTGCTGCTTTCTACCTTGCGGGTATTTCGATTCTTGATATCTTCTTTGGCTTGAAGGCTATTTCTAGCATTATCGGCGTATTCGACAAGACAAAAACCCTCCTGATAGGTAACGTCGAGGTGTGAGTTTATATATCTGTATATAGGAGATCATACTAGAAATTGAGCCACTGAAAATAGTAGCGTACGTCGAAGCTAAATATGATTAATGCCGCTTTTGTGGCGGTCTGTACTGTAATCTGTAAGTCACTTCTATAAGGGAACATGTTTTAGTATTCAAGTGCAGAATATGATAAATCGAACCAAAACTCTATTCTCTATGTGGCTTTGAAGATTGCCAGATGGCATGCCTACACTCCAGTTATTTTTTACTATTCAAGATTAATAATTACTTCAGGATAATTCTGGCCAGTGACCTTTTATATAGCAATTGGATATGTTCGTCCAAAGTCATTTATTATAAGCCAACCATTTTGGTAACCCCTGATGTGAAATCAACAATGTAGCAAGTGGCGACTTAGGGGCAAACCACAGGGATATTGTTTTACGTACGGTGCTCAACCAAGCTACATTTATGTTCAGAAAGAAGGCAGATAAAGTTTCGCTAGGTAGGCTATGGCACAAAAGCGTAAGCCTATGCTGAGGTCGTATGCAAGGTGTTCAAGACCTTTTCGCCAACTATAACATTGTATCATTTCATTGATTGAGCAACCAGGTCGGGCTGCACCTGGCCAGAGAACTACTCATCTATCCGTGTCACGAACGCCACATAGTCCATCTAGCCATCTCCTTGAAGACGGCCGATCCTTTAAGCGTCGACATCCATCTTCTCTGCCGCCTGCGGAACCTCGTCGTCCTTGAGCTCGTGAACCGTAACGTACTTGCTGATCTCCTCCCTGGTGATGACCTTCTCGTTGAGCACGGCAGTCGTGCCACGCTGGAACTTGTAATTCCTCTGCTTGACTTCGCGCTGGTTAGGCTGGATGTAGTTGCGGAGCAGCGTCGTCTTGTCCTCGGTGATGACGCAGACGTCCACGTTGCTACCGGAGCCCAGATCGTTGAAGATACCCGACTGAATTGCATCCGAACACAGCTTCACCGCCTCGTCCCGCGTGAGGTCGGGCTTCCACTGTGTTTCGAAGACGGACATGGCAGCCAGCGAGCCAGAACCCATGGTCACGTAGGGAAGCTTGTCGGTGCTACCGTGTGCGTGGACGGTGAACAGGTGCGAGCCCGTCGGGTCGACGCCCGCAACCACCAGGTAAGCACCGATATGGCCTTGGTAACGGAACAGGTGCTGCTTGAGCATCGTCATGGTGGTGACGACGCGCGGTTTGCGGCCGGTCGAGAGGGCGTGCAGCTCGAGGTTGGAAGAGATGATGGCGGTGGTGAACTCGGTGTCTGCGGCGGTACCGGCGCCAGCGCACCAGATCTGAGGGGCGATGTAGTGCAGCTTCTCGCAGTTCTGGGGACGGGTTAGTGAGCGGTGGGAGCACGAGGCGGATGCGATGACGATGATGGTACCTTGTCTGCTACTATAGGGCCGCTGGTGGCTCTGGTATCGGCGGCGATGACAACACCGCCATTGTATATGCAGCCGACGATGGTGGTACCGGTGCTGGTGGCTTTGGGCAAAGGCACACCCTGGGCGTGCAGGGCGGCATTGCGGTTGTAGTTGGAGAAGTCGAAGCCGGGCATGATGGATGGCAGCGCGGACGGGTGGGTGATGGGCCAAGCTGGAAAGGAAGCGAGAGCAGCTGGTCGGTGGACGGAGAGGCAGTCGGATAGGCAGGCGCGACGGATGTTCTGGGAAGCTCTGGAGTGATGCAGCCAGTGTGAAGCTCCGCGAGCCAGCCTGGGAGCTAGGCACGCCCCAGCTGGCCCGTGCGGCATTTCACGTCCACCGCGCCGAATAATGATACAAGACCCGCACCCGCGCGCAACCTTCAACACACCACTGCGCTCCCTCGACAGGCGCCAGTGCCATCGCTAAAGCTCGCCCGTACAACGTGTCCAGCTCGCCCGCTCGCTCCATTTCGCTCGAGTCTCGCCGTCCTTCTCCGCCAACCACTCCAAAAACACCTCCCAGAAAAGCACATGCGGAGCGCGCACCTGTGACATCGGGCAACCCTTCTCCACGTGTAGAGCTCCGCCCCGGCTATCCTGTGGCGAGAATGGCCTTCTCCATGTCCGGCCCGGCCGCCTCCAATGCGCAGGCCAGGCAAGCGGCCGACCTTGACGAAATAAGCACCGAAGTATGGCGCAACTCCACGGGCGGCATGTATCATCACTTTATACTAACCACTCCTCGCAGCTTCTCGGCTTCAGCGCATTAGGTGGAGCGAAGAAGCTCAAGCTACTCCCTACGCCATGGCCCGCCGACGCCCTCCCTCCCTCGACATCGTCCCTGCTGGCTGTCGCGTCGCAAAAGGGCCTCCTCGCCGCAGCTGGCCCTGAATCGCTCGTCGTCGCATCGACTGATGCCGTGCGGGCCGCGCTACACTCCAAGGACCAGGCGCAAGATGGAATCATCAACTTCGAACCGCAGCTCACGATCCCCGGGCCCCGGCTATCCCAAGTCGCGTTTACTTCCGACGACCAACACCTGGTGTTATCAGCAGAGAGCGGAGGTGGCCTGGCGATACACGACGTCGCGGCCCTCTTGAATGGCAAAACGGAATCTACTTTCCAGTTGGCAACAGAGGGCATGGCGGTTCGGTCACTCAACCCGAATCCAGCCCCAGAGCATGCTGAATTTATTGCCGTCGTGTTGACTGGTGGTCAATTGATGCTGGCCAATCTCAAAGAGAGGAGTTTTGTCAAGCCAAACAACAACGCAGTTCTCAAGAGCGGGGTCAGTTGCGTGTCGTGGAGCAATAAGGGAAAGCAGATGATTGCTGGTCTAGGCGACGGCACCGCCTTTCAACTCAAGCCGGACGGCTCGGCGCAGGCGGTCGTCCCTAGGCCTCCTCAACTGGAAGGCGATCAGCACGGTATATCCATCCGGCCCTTTTGTTCTTACTCAGAAGGCTAACTCCTGACAGTGTCCGCCATATTTTGGCTGGCTAACGATGACTTCTTGATTGTGCACACGCCAACGCAGTTTGAAGCTGACACGGCTCCTGATTCGACGTTCCATTTCGTACATCGCGACAAAGGCTCGCAGAACTATAGCTTCCAGAAGCTCGTTGACCCGGCTCCTCCCTTCGGCTTGAACCGTTCCCCTCCCCATCATTTCATGGCGCGGCTTCGGAACTGGAAGCCTAGCATGGATGACATGCTCATGATTTCGTCAACCGCCGGCGTAGATGTCGGCGTGGTTACACGCTCCTCGGTGCCGTTATCTAGCGATCAACCGATTACAAATGTGTACACAACCACGTCCATAGGCGTAGATTCCCGGCGCGCACAAATGCCGTCCAGCATTGGAGAAGACGTGATGGACACCTCGCCCATCGGACTTGCTATTGACCTTTCCAGCAAAGACAAAGTGTGGAAACCCATTCAAGGCAGCGATGTCGAGTGGTCCCCGACCCCCCTTCCACAACTCGTGGTGTTGAACAACGAAGGTTTCTTAGTCTCTTGGTGGGTCGTCTACAATGCTTCCATCGAACAGAATACTGGCTATGATGGCCTTGTTACCGTTGGCGGAGGCCAAGCGGCACAGCAAGCTCAGCCTGCCGCACCAACCCCCTTTGGTGGAAGGTCGTCAACCTCCGGGGCCGCACCAGCCTTTGGCTCGTCTGGTTTTGGTGCTTCAGGTACAAGTGCTTTTGGCAGTTCTTCGGCGCTCGGCGGCAGCAAGTCTCCATGGCAGTCGGCAAGTACTGGTAGCGCCGGTGGAGCTCCAGCTTTTGGCAAACAATCTTTTGGCACTCCTTCTGCACCTGGGGCATTTGGACAGCCTGCATTCGGTAGTGCATCGAAGCCTGGCGCAACGTTTGGTGCTCCTGGAGGGCTTGGTTCTAAAGGCTCCGTATGGGGCGCTCCTTCGACTGCTACTTCCCAGCTGACCAAGCCGAGTTCTCCCTTTGGCGGAACAGCAGCGGCTCAGTCCCCATTTGCGACGTTGGCACAAAATACCAACAACACCGCTGGTGGAGGATTCTCTGCCTTTGGCAAACCCTCTACAGCTTCACCATTTGCTAATGCTCAGAACAAGCCTGGACAATCCGCATTTGGAAATCCGGCTTTTGGTTCGAACAATGCTCCAACTCAGAGTTTCGGTGGGTCCTCCGCACCGAGCTTTGCTTCAACAGTGTCGCTGAACTCTTCTGTAGGCGGTTCCACGGTCAAGTCCTTCGGCGCGCCGCAAAACACGAATCTTTTCGGTCAGAAGGCAGCTCAGCCACAAACAGAGGAATCCGAAATGGCCGATACAGATGATCCCCGCAGTCCGAAAGGAGCACAAAAGTCCAACATATTCGGCGACTTTAAGCTTGGAACTACGTTCGCAAAAGACGGAACATCCAATGACGATCTCCCTAAGCCCGCGAATCCCTCTGGCAGCTTTGGTTTGGGTCAATCTTTCGGCCAAGTTCTGGATGCGGCGCAGAATGAATCAACGGGGCCGAAACCTCCGACTAAGCCCGAAAACCCCTTCGGACAAACCCAATCTCTCGGTCAAGTTCTGGAAACAGCGAATAAGGAATCATCGGGGCCCAACCCTTCCGCTAAGCCCGAAAACCCCTTCGCACAGGCGTCAAGCAAGCCCGAGATAACGTCGCCCACGCCAGCTGCCAAGACTCCTAACACGAGCGGAAGTTTGTTTGACAATCTAGGCAAACAAGGAAAGTCAGGATCATCTCTGTTCGGTAATATTGGCAACAAGCCGGCTACGAATGGCGCTGCTCCAACCTTAAATCCCGAGAAACCCAAGCCAAAGTCTCCGTCGCCACAGCCGAAAGAAGAGGATGCACCTCTACCACCCGATTTTACGGCACCCAAGCCCAAGAAGAGTCAGGATTCGAAAGCAGAAGATGCGCCGGAGGACGCGCCATTGCCGCCGGATTTCACAAAGAAGGCCAAGGAGCCTGAAAGCAAGGACACAGACGACCTACCACCCATTGCAGGAAGCCCTCCCGTGGAAGTCGAAAAGCCCGAGTCTCCCTCGCCGTCAGAAAACTCTGCAGACAAGGAAGGTGCAAGCTCGCCTACTGCAGCACCCCTCCCTCCTGATCTCCGCAAGCCAGCCAATGCCTTCAGTTTCCCTTCAGCCCCGGACACCACGAAGCCATCTGCGCCACCTAAGCCTCCTAGCCCCTCTAGGTCACCAACACGCCCGGCTGCCCGTGTTGATTTTGGGGCTTCCACCACCCCATTTGGTGCTCCTAAGACGCAACCACCTGTCCCTGTTTTCCCACCCAACAAAAATGAGGATACGCTTCGTTCGCCGAGCCCAGTCCGCACTGCGTCGGCCTCTGTCCCTGCTACTGGCCCAAGGCGCGAGGCAATGAAGATTCCGCCTGCACCGCCGGTCACTCGTGCCACTTCGCGGCCCGCGGCACCAGAGCCCGATTCCATCCTCCAGGATTTACCTGATGACGAGGAAGCAGAACAGACCCGTAACACCCTCGCATCCTCTCCGACCGCTACCAAAACGCTCAAGGAGTTTTACGTACATCAGGACTATGCAGGACCTTCTGGTCCTACCAGCATTGCCGGCAGTATTGAGCAGTTATACCGCGACATGCAGAGCATGGTTGATACTGTGGGCCTGAACGCACACCACCTCGCTGGGTTCATCAAAGGTCATATGGAAAACGAGGGGCAAGAACGGCAGCGCTCTGACCTTGAAGTCGATGTGGACGATCCAGATGCTGAGGGGAGCTGGTGCCTTGCGGAAATTGACGATCTTGAGATTGTGGAGAACAATTTGGAAAACTCATTGGATCGGGGACGACTTTCCGATGTTCAAGGGAAGATTCGCGACCTGATCCGATTGTCCAAGGATGTGTCCCAGCTCCGGAAGCGCCTGCAGGATGTTCGGAAGGCCATTGAAGCCCGGAAAGACCCAGCGAAGCTTGCACAAACGCGTGGCACACCGCTTTCCGAAGAACAATCTGCCCAGCAGCTCACACTTCGTGGTTCCTTCGCTGACACTCAGAAACTGCTGACGGCGGCCGAGGAGGCTATTGTATTGCTGAAGACTCGCATGTCGTCGGCGGAGGCGAATCGTGGCAGCCCTAACACGCCCACTGCCGAGGCGGTAGAGAAGACGATCGCCAAAATGACCGCCATGATTGAAAAGAAGTCTGGCGATCTCGACGTGTTGGAGACGCAGATGCGCAAGCTGCGTCTTCTCGGCAATTCCGGCTACGGCTTCGACTACGACGAAGAGGAAGACGACGACATCGCCGCAGGACTGACGTCGCTGAACCTCCGCAGCAGCCTCGGTCCCAGGAGCAGGGAGGGCAGCCCCGCGTTCGCGACGCCGCCGACTACGAGGACGAAGATGCTCAACTACGGCACGCCCGGCACTGGCCGGAGCAATCGGAGCAGCAGGGGCTACGGACTGTTCTACACGCCGGACGGCAAGAGCAGTCCCGCGCCGTTCAGGAGCAGTTTCAACGGTTCCATGACAGGCCCCATCCCAGCAAGCAGCCTCGGCGAGGAGATTACCAAGGAGGATGTCAGGACATACAAGGCCAAGCAGGCGAAACGCAGCATTGTGGCTGAGAAGCTGAGAGAGGCGGCTGCGCGGAGGGGCGGGCCGAGGGTCACGAAAATCGGCCCTTGAAGCGTGAGTTGGAACATCCGAGCGACGTGCGAGCAAGGGGAGACATTTGGCAGGGTTGACAGAAAGGGGATAGGAGGGGTATTGGATAGGTGGAGCGATGGTGTCAGCAAGTGCTTGTAGGATATCACAGTCGGCGCTTGGGGCGGTAGCTAGTGTAGCTAGGCCAGGTGAACTAATGCATCACATTTGGTGCGACTTTTACGGCATGTAGTTAGATGACGAGACGAGCGAAGGTGCGCAGCCCCGGGCATGGCGCGGCAGCGTCGTGGTGGTAACTAGGTATTGTACGAGCACGACCCAGCCGAATCAGCCCCCAACATCTGCACGCAGGCGCGGGGACATGCAGGTGCACAGCCAGCGCAGGTTCCCGCTGGCGCAGCAGCAGCTCACGCAACACGTCTCGTGCCTCTCTAGACAGCTGTTTCCAACGAAACAGCTTCTGGACAGTGAAGACCCAGCAAGAAACGCGCTGCCGGGTCGCAGGCGGGAAGGAGGCCTTGCACACCCACGGCACCGACGCTTTGGCACCTTCTCATCGGGAGTGGTCAAAGCCCTCTTTTTGCTTGGTCCGTTCACCCGTCTTCCCCTCCCACACACCCACACACCCCCTTCCCCCCCCCCCTCTTTTGTCTCAGGACGCCAGCCAGACGAGCCGGGCATTGGACGGCAGTGCCTGGGCGGCGCAAGGGCCGCGCGGGCGGCGATCAATCGTAAATAGGCACGACTGCGTACAAGACCATGGGGTGCCCTGCTCTTGCTCGCGTGCCTTGGTCGCGGGCGCCATCGACGGGCGATGAATCATGAGGAGAGAGGAGCGCAGGGCGCCAGGCGGCTGGCAGTCATGATAGAGGTAGAGTCCAGAGCGAGCCAGAGCGAGCGAGCCGGAGTGGACGGGGTCGGGCGGTGCACGCAGCACGAGTGAGGCTCTGTTTCTGCAGGGCTTGGGGAAAACACGTTACACGACAGACAGGAGGACAAAAAGCCCGATTGGCGCGGCTTTGTTTGGACGTCATATCCACCACGTCTGCGCGCACGTGGTGACAGCAGTTGGCAGCTGGCAAAACCCGCGACAAAGCGAGAGGCCCCGGGTACGTCAGCACTCGACAAGCGCGCGAATGGCATGGTGTTGGGACGCTTCGGCGACAAAACATCCATGGTCGATCTTGCCGTTGCAGGCGCGGAGTGCAGTTTCGGATGTCGCCCGGCCTCCACGTCATTCGTTGGGAGGGAAAGGATCGCTGGGTTTATTCGACGCCCGTCAACCTCGACGCGCGCGAAAGGCGAAGATCGTGGGGGAGGGCGACGAGGGTGCGACGAACAGACAGATGGGCAAGTGTGCGACGCAAGCCACACGCATGCCATGCAGCGTGACGTCGCGAGCCACAAGGCCGGACGCGCGATATCCGCCATCCGGCCTGACCCGAGGCAGAGGGCTCGCCGGCCGATTGGGCAGTCCACGATCCTTGGCGTGGTGTTGCAAGAGGGTGGTCGTTGGCCACTCACAGCGCTCTTCAGCTCCACCCAAACGCCCCACCAAACAGTTGTTCTCCCCGCTGCCCGGGCGGACAGTTGGCGTCTCATCTCCGCTCTTCCAGACGTTTCGCTTGCAGTTCACAATTTCCGCGTAACGATTCAACGAATGGGCTGCTTCCCAGGGCCTTACGCCCGTATCCGTGACGGCAGCCATTCCTACAGGAGACGTACGGTATCGATAGATCGGCCCGCCCCGTCGCGGTGATTAGAAACCGCTTCGAGCGGCTAGCAAAAGCGAAGCATGCAAAAAACCCACTCTTGCAGGCTGCCCAATTGGTACATGGCTTACCGCTACTACTCGCTTCCCGCAAGGGTATGGCCGCGTCAGACCAGTCTGCTTCGGGCAACGGCTAGGCTGTGCGCGGCCATGGTTTTCATCGCAGTCGTTCCCCTGTGCCTGGTGGCATGACGTGCGTCGTCGGAAGATAACTCGCAAGACACTTTGCCCGATTGAAACGCACCACGACACCAACGCGACTACGGCGCTTCATACGCTGCGGGGAGCGCACGTGCTGCTCACCTACTAATACTCCTACCATGGCCTTCCCCTCTACCTCCCAAGTCACACTTCCACAAGCAAAACCCAAACACCGCCCTCATGTTCTTCAGACGCTTCTTCGGCGGCTCTAAGAAGTCCAAGTCCAAGCCCGACCGGACGAGCAAGACTCCCACCGTCCAGAGCAACATCACCCAACCCGAGCCGCCCCGCGAGTTCAGGCTCGTTACCGACACGGAGCTGGGTCGCCGGCAAGATCAGATCATTGCCAATCTTCGCCACGATCACAGCCCGCGCCCCGCTCCTGTCCGCAAAGAGTACACCACCAAGCCCTTCTACATCGCCCCCTCTGAGGAGAAGCTCGAGATCCACGGCATCAAGGTCGAGGTTGTGTCCGATGAAGATGAGTGCTACCACCCGGCCCCGAGCCTTTTCGTGCACACCGAGCAAAAGGTCACGGAACGCTTCAGCCCCAAAGTATGTCTCTTTCTGCCTTCCCACCGCCTTCACAAAACACTAACAGCGGCACAGCCTGTCAACAGGGCCGGAACTCCCCACCCGCAGAGGAGGACGAGTTCTGCCAGCAGGCACTCGACGCGGACCGTCAACTCGACCAAGACTGCCCAGTCGACCAAGACGGCCCATTCGACCAAGACGGCCAGGACTGCCCGCTCGACGCGGACGCTCAACTCTACTAGACGCAACGACTCGTCGAGCCGTCTTGTCAACGCCAGACCGGCACCCTCAGCAACCGGCACCATCACCATCGGCTACGCCGGCTACTAAAGCACTCACGGATTTCTTTTGTTTTACTCATGTCTCCACGCTTAACGAGGACGGTGGAGGATGCCGCGCTGGCAGCCGTCCCCCCCCAAAGATGCTGAATGAAGCATGCTTTCGAGCATCATGACCCTCGCTGAAGGAAGGTTCTTTCGCTTCTTTTCCCTTCACGCCACCGCCTAGCGCGGAGGCACTACCGCTACGACTCTCCGCCACGGTTTCCTTGCGCTTTTTCTTTCGCATGATTTCGGATGAACGGACTTGTACCTATTTCCTTTGTGGATGCTTTTGTTTCCTCTTTCACATCATGTCGCACGCAAGCGCAGCAGCAGCAAATGCCGCCGCCGCCGTCACCGCCGCCGCCGGTCGCACAGTGTCCGACTGAGTAGGCAGGAACGAGCGAGCGAGCGGGCTGGTTGCGCAAGCATCTACGACGATTTCGCCGGCGGGCCCCGTTTCCCGCTTCCTTGTTATCAGGGCGGACGCGAGGGGTGCGCATACAGTTGCTGCGCCAGGCGACCGCCTTGTTCGCGTCTTCATCTAACCCTTCCCGGAGTTACTGGGCAGGGGGGACGCACACGCGGTTGCCGCAGCCGTCGGCGAACTGGAGGAGCAGACTAGGACGCGGGTTGGGCAGGCGGCGGGTACGCACACGAATTGCGACTCGCCGCAACGAGGAGGGATGATGGTGGAGGACGTGGGCGCTCTTGGCTCGAGCTAGCTCGAGGGGAACTCTTGGGCTGGACTTGATGGACTTGATGCAGGGCAGGACATGGGTGATGTCGCCAGATTGAAACGGACTGAAACGGATCAGGACGGTTGGGGACACACGGATTGATGAGACGGACGGATGAAACGAACTGGAAACGAATTTATGAAACGGACTGAAACGAGACAGAAGGACAGACAGATGACAGACAAACAAGTAGCGCAATCGTTGGCTTGGCTTGCCTTAATCACTTGCAGCAGCGCGCAGTGCGCAGCAGCTGTGTCTTCTCCTATCTCATCTCTCCATTCCATCTTTCTCTCCACCACCATCTACCTAGGTACCGAGTCTGGCTCTGTCGGTTTCTGTTTGTTTCTTTCTCTCTCTTCGCACACATATATTCCCGCGCCGTCGGGACCACTCTCATCACTTTTTTCTTATCACCTCGCATGGTCTTTTCACGGATCTCCCCGCCGTTGGCGTCGGCAACGGCCACGGATACCACCGGATATCGGACAGTGGCGTCTGCGCTGGGGCGCTGGGGCGCCCCCTTTTCCACTCCATCCGCCAGTCTTTTTTCCCTTCCTTTCCTCTTGGACCGCCCGCCGTCGCAGGCGCGCCTTCTCCGGCGCATGTATTGGACGAGGGACTGCGGCAGGAACGCGGACGTGCTTGTCTCTACCCGGATGGCTGTTCGCTCGCTCGCTCGCTCGCTCGGGCTCGCCCTGTCAGGGCGGGCGGGAGGCATGGCACCACGGGACGCCCTGCGGGTAGGGATGGAGGGCCGGCACCGCGCAGCAGCAACTGCACAACACATCATCGCTGCAGGGCAGGGCAGGGCATGGCATGGCATGGCAATAGAACAGCAAGCCCGCAGGGGGGGAGAAAGAGCAGGGAATGGCAGGGCGCAAGCAAGCAAGCACAGCGCAGCGCAGCAAAGAGTGCAATAACCTACCGTCCACGGTGCCAACGAACCCAGCACCCCTAGCACGGATCCCAGCAGGCGCGGCGGGCCAATCAAGCGCCCGGACAGGGAACACCTCTCTCTCTCGCTATTAAATTGCTTAGTCACTCACTAAGCCATATTTCCGCCAAACTATGGATATCATATCAATCCGAGATGCCGCCTGCCTCTAAGTTTCTTTCTCTCCGACCGAACCAAGGACACCCCCGCAACCCACGGGCACGAGCACCCAGGTTCTTCTCCCTCGTTCCGCACTCCCATTCCGCGCCGATTCCGCACCGAGCTTGCGCTCACGGATCGCCCGATTGATTGACGGCGGATCCCCCGTCTTTGCGTCGTCGGCGTGCGGGGCTGCCCTTGCTTGCTTAGAGGCGGGCCTTCGTTATTTCCAGCATGCTAGCCCTAGATACCTACGGTGCGATCGAGCTGCGCCGCGCCGCGCCGACGCCGGCCGGCCAACAGCAACAGGTCAGGCGTGCCGGCCGGTTGCGCGCGGACCATGCTGGCTGCCAACACTTACCTTACACTACCAAAACTACAGACACTTGGGTGCCGCGATGATGACTGCGACGAACAAACGAACGAACGAACGAACACGCCGCGCCGAGTGACTGACCATCTGACCGACCGACCGACTGGCTACGCGCCCAACCACCTCACCATCTCAATCTCACTCACGGCCTGATCACGACTAATGAAATACCTAAGGTAGGTAGGTAACGAACCAACGAAGCAACCAAGCCAATCTCGCTCGCTCGCTCGCCCAAATCCTTGTCGGCGCCTTCCACCTTCCGCCTTCCGCCTTCCGCCTTCCCTCCGCCGCCAGCCAGCCAGCCAGCCCCCGTCGTCTCGTCGCACACACAGACACACGCACATACCTAGCACCGCGGCGTCCGCTGGCAGACCCTGTCCCGCTCCGCCCCCTGCTTGTGAGGGCTGCTACTGCTCTACCTACCCACTGCGGCTTTCGGCGCGAGGCGAGGCATGCTAGATGTCCATCGGCAGAGGGACATGCGACAAGGGAGGCGTTGGTGGCGTTGTTGGCGCTATGTGTGGGTGGGCAGGCAGACGGGACATCCGAAGGTAAGGTGAGTCAGCAAGCAGCTCGGCCAGTGCACCACCCATCCGCCTGCCTAGATAGGACGGACAGACAGCAAGTCACCCGGGCGGTGATCGGGCACTTCGCTCGTAGCTCGGCGCCGTGCGCCGCGCGTGTCGTTACCAGGTGTCGTTGTTGTTGTTGTTGTGCTGGCCGCCGGCGCAGACCACCCAAGGCAGAAGCAGTAGGTAGGTACGTAGTAGTAGGAGCAGCAGGGTATCTGTGTGTGCGAGCGAGCGAGGTTTTGAGCTGTGCGTCTAGGTAGAGACGTACGTGGCTAGGTGGCTGTAGAACAACAACGACGACAACAACGACATGAATCGACCTAGGGGGTTCGTTCGAGGGAGCACGCGTGCTGCTGCGCTGTGTTGCTGCTGCTGCTGCTGCTGCTGCTTGCTTGCTTGCTGGCTGGTCGTCTGCCTAAGGTTGTCATCGTTGTCGTCGTCGGCTATCTGCCAACACATCTAGGTAGGTAGGTGCCTACCACCTCGTGGTACAACACGCACGCCCGCACCCGCTTTTCCCCCCCACACTCCCGAGTCCCGTCCCAGCTGTGTGTGTACACACGTGTGTGTGTCCTTGTAGGTGGTTTCACCGCCTGCTGCCCCGGGCACGTATGCACGCGCGCACGCACGTATCGTAGATGGATACCTAGATACCTCGATACCTAGTCAGCTAGTCAGCCAGCCAGCCCTGTGACGATACGTATGCATACATACATACACACATACATACGTGCATCCGTGCATGCATACAATACGGCCCCAGCTTGCGTGCGTGTGCGCTGGTGCCCGTGGCCCTGCCAGGTACAATACATACCGCGCGGACCGGTAGACCGTAGGGCGTGCGCTAGTGTGAGGTGGCATGCACGCGTGTCTTGCTGCTTGCTGCGTGTGTGTGGGGGACGGGCCTACCTACCTACCTACGGTGCAAGGGCCTTTTCGGTGTCGGGTCGGGTAGGGTGGGTGGTTGGTTGCTCCTGTTGCTGCGTGGTTGGTCTGTACCTACCCGGACACCTACCTAGGTAGGGAAGGACAGTGGATAGGTAGGTCACAGATAGAAAGGAATGTAGGTACCCATTGCATGGATGGAATTGGATTGAGGCTATCTGCTCTATCAACGAACAAAAAACCAAGGAAATCGCCTTGATCAAGGCCGGAATGAGGTGCTCATCGTTGAGTGAGTGAGTGTCAGAAGAGGGGTATTAAGGGCAGCAAGAGAAGCAAGAAAAGAGAAAGCACAGCAGCTAGCTAGCTGTCGTCGAGCACGAGACAAGCAAATCAAAGCAAGTGAAAAGAAAAGAGTCCGCACAGGCGGAGCCAGAAGCAAAAGCAAAGCAAAGCAAAAAAAGAAAAAAGTCATCAGTCATTGCTCATCAGTCGTAACCACCACAACCACCACCCCCGCACATCTTCACCAGCACCACCCAGCCTCACCAAAAAACTCCGGCACAAGGCACGCCCCCTCGTCGGGCTCGTAGGGCGACAGCGTGCGCAGGTCGACCCGGATGGGCGTGGGCGGCACGGCCGGCGGCGGTATGTCGATGTAGAAGGTGGCGTAGCGTTGGCGGTTGCGCCGCCGGCGATGGAAGGGCCGCGGCGGGCTGGCGATCGGTATGTTGATGTAGTACGTGTCGATGTGGGGCGGGGTGAAGTAGACTATGTTCTTGTCATCGTCGTCGTCGTCGTCGTCGTCGTTCTCGTTGTTGTTGCTGGTTGGGGCTGTGGTGGATGTGTCGATGCTGCCGTTGTGGTTGTTGGTAGTGGTGGTGACAGGAGTGATGGAAGCGTCGTTGACGGTAGCAGTAGTCGTGGTTGTGCTCTCGACAGTAGTGTCCTCGATAGTGGTGCTCTCGGCAGTGGTGCTCTCGACGGTGATGTCCTCGACGGTGATGCCGCATGTGTTCGCCGTAACGGCAGCCCGGTCTTCTTGACCTCCAGGGCCGTCATCGCTCTCAATCTCAACGGCCTCTCCATCAGGAGTAGACTCGGAGCCATTCTTGAGCTGTGAAGCAGAATGGACAGGCTCTTGGGCTCTCGTGGCAGCACGGCCATCGGTCTTGATTTTCTTCGATGGGCCGACATCAGTGACAGCGGGCTCGTCGATGGTGCTGTTCTGGCGCTTGCGATACTCGGGGAGGTTGCGGAGCGGTGTGCTTGAATCCGAGGTCGAAGACAGGGTCGATGCCGACGTCGAGTTCATGTTAAGAGTCGTACTTGAGGCCGGAGCCGTAGCACTGGTCAAGGGAGCATCCGGCTGGAGCTTTGACTCAGGGACGATGGTTGTAGCCGTAGCCGTGGTCGGCTTTGGCTCAAGTGTGTTGGTGTCGGCAGCCATTGTGAGGTGAAAGTGAAAGTGAAAGTAGCAGAGGAGTCGCTGGCTGAGTTGAAGGTATAGAGGATGAAGGCCCGCGCAATGATAGCAGACGGTGTCTTGCAACGTGCAGATAATCGGCTGCAAAAACAGCAGGCAAAGATGGATGGCAAGGAAGAAAGGCTTGTGGGTTTTCGACGGGAGAGAGGCGAGGTTTTGTGTCCGGTGCCCGCCTCCTGCCCAGCCCCTTTGTTCTAACCGAGACCCCACGGTCATAACGACACAAGTTTTTCTCAATTAACACAGCAGCCATAGCTACCTCCTCCTCTTGCTCTACTTCGGGGGTTGTCGCGGTGTGGTTGCAGACGGCTTGTTGCGAGGGAAGATAGCATGGTGGTGTTGGCGGTGGCCGCGCCCACTTCACTTCAAGACCACACCCACCCATCAAAAGCCACCGCGTCTTTTTCGCCGCAGCACTGCATGTCCTTCAATTTGTTATGAAGTCCATCCGCAGGAGCCGGGCCCAGCGTTGCTGAACCACATCCACTAAGCATTCTTGCAAGCACTCTCATCTGCGTCCACTACAACTTGTGCGCCAGGCATGACACCCGAATCTTTCCTGTCTATGTGTTAACGACTATGTTATAATAATCAGAAATAAACGCGTACCCACGATGCCTAGTTTAATTATCGATGTTTACTTTCAGCGTGCACCCTTGGCAGTCTTCATACCAACGGCAATTGTTCGAAAATCGACCGAATAATAGGCCTTCTAGGATTCTACGGAATACAATCCGATTTTAGCATAAAAGTCCTTAACCTGCAATGCGTGTCCACACACACACGTAGCTAGCTACAAGGCTTATTACTTACTAGCTGGCATGGAAGAAAGAATGACTTATAATAGCAAACCAAAACCTTACATGGAGACACGTCAGAAAGAAAGACGAATAGACGAATGGATAGATGGGGGTGAATGGTCGAGTTGGTAAGCCCACGCGAGCCAAATAGCTAGCTACGAGAAAGAAAATATAGAGGGCATCCAGACATGGAGGTAGCGTGAAGTGAAAATAAAGTGAAGTCAAGTAAAGTTGGACTGTGCTGAACCGCCATTATTGACTGATTTACTGGATGAAAACTATTAAAAAAAAAAAAAAAATAAATAAATAAATAAAAAAAAACCAAACTGAAAGCTGCCCTAGAAAAGACCGAAATATACCTATAGAGAAGCAGCGAGCGACCCATTCGAAATGTGCCGCTCGCCAGCAGAGAAAGAGAAGGAAAGCAAAACCCCAACTAAAAACAAGAAAAACGACCGCAAATCTACTCCGCTCTTCTCACCCACTATCCGAAACCCTCAATAACACACCCCGCAAACCCCTCCAACCCCACTGCGCTCTTCTCCGCGCTCGCACGATCCGCTCCCCTCCCTCTTCCCCCTTCCATGACCAACACCCTTGCCCCAACATCGACGCACTCGCGCGTCGCCACAAACTGGAACGTGACGAGCGTGCTCTCCGCCGTAGCACCATCAGCATCGCTATCGCTGTCCTCAAACGCAAAGCCGAAGCCGTCGTCATCATCGACACCAGCGCCGTTGCCAGCCCGCCGCCCAGCACTAGGCCCCACCTCTGCCTTCTCGTCGTCGACAGCAATGGCTATGACTTTGGCGCTAGCGCGTACGCTCGCGATATACACGACGGCCAAACTGCCGACGATGAGGCCCCGCACAGCGTCGCCAGGGAAGCGAGCAACGAAGGCGCGGTAGCTAGTCGGCTTGCCACGCGCAAGCACCATGCCTTTGCGGATCCTTGACAGCGCCGGCGCTGGCTCCGCTGCCGCGTCCTCGTCGACGGGGACAAGGCCCAGGGTCCCGACCTGGCCGGCATGCAGGGTGCGGACGGGCAAGCGTAGGTTGCGGATGCTCGTGATGCGGACCTTGCGCCATTCGGAGTGATTGTGGGTACGGGAGGAAGAAGATGCGGGGTGGTATGGCAGGGTCAAGCGCTGCAGTGCCCCGGGGAAGGAGCGGCTGGTGTGGATGGTGGTGGCGGTGGACTGGTTGCCGCTCCCGCTGTCACTGTCATCGGCTGGAGCGTCGACCGGGAAGGGACCGAGTGTGAGCTCATCGCCTAGGTGAAGGGTGCCATAATGTAGATGGCCGCTGATGATGGACGTTTCGGAGCTTTCAGATGACGCTGCAGCTTTGAAGCGGTATACATCTTCGACGTGGTAAAGCGCCGAGAGTGGCGAAGTCTCTTGGCTGCTATTTGGAGGCGCTAAGCTGTTTGGAGCCGGTGGCGCTGCTTCCACTGGGGGTATCTGAAGTTCGTGAAGCAGGGCATGGAGCTTGCGTATCCCTGTTCCCTTGACTGCACTGGTGAGTACGATTGGGACAATCGCTAGAGGATCCTCCCGGAGTTGGTCCGCAAACCTCCTAGCATCGGCCAGGTCAGACGCCGACAACACCCCTAGGTCAGGCGCCACCGTCATACTTCCCGCCTCAGATAAGATATCCGGCTTCTTACCAGCCGCCTTTAGTATCGACAATAATTTGGATAGCGTCGCCCTGAGACCGGTTTTCGACGCTAAGTCCATCTTCGTCACCACAATAACAAGAGGCAATCCAAGCTTGAGGCACAGCTCAAGATACGCTTCAGACAGATCGACATCGGCGGCATGATCTCCCAAAACCTCGCCCGATGACGGTGTGCTCCCAACTTTGCCCGACGTGTCCTCTGCGTTGTCTGCAGGCATACAGAGCAGCGTCCAGTGAGGTGCCCATCCCATCAATCCGCGGACTGTGGTACGTCGATAACGTGGATGCCCCGCAGAATCGGAAAGGAATACCAAACGGCCCGAGTTACAGGCCGCATGAATATCAGTCCAAGAATCAATATTCCCAGACGCATAATTGATGACGTCCACGTCTCCAGATCCATCAGCAGACCTGTTGTATCCAAGGAGCTCTTGAGTGACAGAGCTCGTCATTCCGGAGGCGATCTCGTGCCTATGCCTCAACAAGCTGAGCCTACTCTTTCCCCGGCCATTATCCAGTGTCGCCGTGGAAAGACTTCCCAGAAGGCTACTCTTTCCAGACATGGTGGCGCCGGTCAGAGACACGCGCAACTGCTCTGAGGTAGGTTGGGCCTCCGCAAGGTCAACTCGAGCGAGCGAATGCGTCAAACGAGTGATGCCTTCCGCTTCCTCTGATGTGCGAGCTGCACTGACGTCTGGCTTGACAAAGGCTTCTGAAACCCAGAGCTTTTCATGATGCGCCTTCTCACCGACTTCGTCATGCCAAGCACAGTCGCCCACAGCAACCATTCGAAGGACATTGACGGTACAACCCAAACTGGCGGCCATTGCGCGGAGGTTGGTCAAACTCTCATCCATCTCATCCTCTGCAAGCCCTACAAAGGTTCCATCATCGGCAATACCGATTTCGTACAAGGCGCCTTTGCTCTCTTCAAGCCCAGGCAGCACCTTCGAAAGAGACGGCGGTGCCTTGAGCTGCAGTGCCGCTTCCGGCAATTGGGGAATGACAAGCTCGTTTGCCGCCGTCGAATGATAAGGCGACGACTGCTGGAGCCTCCACAGAAGCTGTGTGGTTAGTTGCTCCAAGCGATGCTGCCGGGACTGGCTGGACGATGCCTTTGGAGGAGTGCGGGACAGATTGTTTTCGGAGACTGTGCGCTGAGTGGGCGTGCCGGCACTTGAACGGTGTGAACCCGCCACGTGCCGTGCAGTGCTTGTGAAATTGAACGATCGCCGTGAGCGTAACAGCAAGTGTAGTTTGTACTCAGTTGGGCCTTCCTGGGGCTCTGCCTCTAGCTTGATAACTGAGCTGTCTGTTTCCAGCACAGCCTGAGGTTCGAGACCTCCAGCGATACGGTGGGGTCCTGGCGCAGCAGCATTTGTGTTCAGTCCAGATGGCGTCCTGGGAGTCGACGTACGCGGCGTAGACCACGGCGACGCAACCCGAGGAGGGTCCGGGTCGAAAGTGAAGATGGACGCCATGGTGTCTGTAAAAGTGCCCCCCTGTATGACTCAGAGGTGTTTTTTTTTTTTTTTTTTTCCTTCAGTGTTGCGTGCTTCAATGGCTTTTGTTTGCCAAAATCACGGGTGGTTCAATCAAGCTAAACGAAAGGATTCCAACAAAGACCGTCTGGTAGTTGATGTCGGCGGTATTCGATATGGTTCTAACAGTGATGGTAGCATCTTGACGGAGGCTTAGCGGGTGTCTCGGACAGCTTCGTGAGGGAAGACGAGGAGCTACAGTGATTGCAATACTGCAGCGTAGGCTCTAGAGCAGCGACATGGCGAGCATGGCGGTGGGAAATGCCGTGGTGTTGTGATAGGGGGCGAGGACGCTAGGTTGGACGGTGGTGCCGAGCGTGACGTTGTCTGGGGTTGGCAGGCAGGCGGGACGGATTAACCTCGCCGGAGACGGGCCGTCTTGGGCAAGCCATGATGTGAGCTTGTGAAATGTTTCTGCAGCAGCACGGACAGGTCTGCGCGAGGTCGAGATGCAGCCAAAACGATAGTGCCATGACGTTGGCCATGTATATTGCGTAGGGACTCGTAGATGGTGAATAATAGAGTAGACGTGTGCATGGATGGCATGAGAGCACGTGAGAGGGCGAGTCAGTTGTCCGGGGGCTACGGTAGCTAGCCCAGGGCGCGACGGGTTAGAATGCGCGACAAGCTCCTCACGACCCAGAGCGAAGAGGAACGTGCCGGCACCAGCCCTGTCGTCACCAAGGTAAGCCAAGAGTGCGACAATGTGGCAGATGGTCGCTGATTGCTGACGAGGATATTGAAGCGGCGCGCCAAGCCCCGCCGTCTAGGCACCCGCGCAGGCAGCCAGGCTCCAGCCCTGTCCGGCAATAAGCTGCGCGCCCGGTCTTTGGTCCGTGTTTCCGACTGCGCAGAGCTCACCGCCTCTGTAGCCACCGGAGCGGAGTGTGGCAGGGTGGAAAAGTCAAATGGTGGAACATTGACATTGGGGAGGAGGAACGGAGCGAGAGGCACTGGGTACCTGCACCCGACATCTCTCGTCAGCAGCCTGCCCGCATATGCCTAGATGGGAATTCCAAACCCTCTACCTACAGGGCTCCATGTCCCGCCCACTAGGTTACCTACATGGAAAATACATGCCTTTCCGCCGCCGGGCCTTGGCTTTCCCTCCATCTCTCGCTCTCTCTCTCTCTCTCAAGTCGCTCTCCCCGCCTAAGCCCGTGGCGGCCGCGGCTTAAGGCGTGGCCCTCTGAGTGGCCGGCCACATGCCAATGCGTAGGGGGCCCGAAAATCTAAAAAAGATGTACAGGAGGTGTGTGCTCAGGTCAGATGCGGCAAAGCAGCCCCGCGGAGCGTGACGGCCAGCATATGCCAAAAATGGTCAGCACTCTGTCCGCACGCGTGCGCTAACCGGGGTGCGGTCGCCAAAAATACATCAATGTCCAACACACATGGCCATGGAGATCAATGACGCACATGTTCTGCGCTTTCGCAATGCTTGCTTCTTCGAGGTACGTTGGAATGTAAGGCTATCGATGACACCGCTTTGACCGCGAGGTCTCGGCGCGTGAAAGATGCTAATCGAATGTAGGAAAGAACCCCCGCTGTCGCCCCGCTACCAACGCCATGGTAAAATGCTAAACCGCAGACCCAGAAACACCGCGCCATGCTGCCTCGATCTACGAATCCCAGAGGCCCAATAAAAATATCCAAGCATAAAAAAAAAAAATAAAAAAAAAAGAAAAAAACGAGATTGCCAGCGCTACTTAGCCGACGACGAATGGGGAATATGGTCTGACTCGCCCGCCGGGTCTGGGGGCGTGTCGCTGAAGGTCATGAAATGGGTTTTCCGAAACGCGCTGGCCAGCGCAATTATTACGAAGCGTCCGATGTCTTGCGCGGCTTGCACTTCTCGTGGGCCATGTGCCCGTTGCGGGCCGTTGTGCGCGTGAACTCCGCGCCGCACCGCGGGCAGTATGATTTCGCCGCAGTGCCCGACTTTTCGCGCTGGTGCCGCAGCAGGTTGCTGAAGGTCGAGAACTGACGCCCGTTGCAGCCATGCTCCCAGCACTGCGGCTTAGGCCGAGAGTTCAGCACGCGCACGCCGCGATCGGCGCCCGCGGCGCTCGAGGGGTCGCCCGCGCTGCCTGCGTATGGTGCAGAGTAGGGAGAAGTTGGGGGTGCGCCATACATGGGCGCCGCTGATGTTGCTGGCGGGCCATACGCCACTGCATAGCCGCTAGTGCTGTATTGGTTGGGCGAGCTGACCGCTGGTTAGCCACATAGTCGTTATAATGCGAGTTTTCGGTCAAATTCTTACCCTGGGTAATTCGAGCCGTATGGAAGCGTCGTGTTGGGCGCAGGCAGGTTTGGGTGAATAGGCGGGTAGGGAGAAGTGTGCGCTGCTGCGCCGTCGCTGGATACGGGAATGTAGCCTCCAGATGCGGAGCTTGTGAGCGAGCTTATCGAGGCGTGGCGCGGGGCATAGTCGTTCTGAGGGCTGCTCCTCAGCACCGCCGAGGGCTGCTGGTACGGCGGGAGGTACGGCGATGGCGTGCCGCTGCTTTGCGTGTAACTTTGCTGCTGAGGAGACGAGTGATGCGTTTGCTCATAGTCTGGTAGCCACCGTCAGCTGATTGTTCGTTCTGGAGCTTCGATTGGGGGGCTGTGGCGGCGGCTAAGTCGTCCCTGCAGGACGCCACTGGCGCTGCGCGTGGGAATCTTCCCATCGGACCACTTTCTCTGGCCTGGAAAGGTAGTAGGGCGGGGTGCTTTTTTTCTTTCTTTCTTCTCTATCTTCCCCCCACACTTGCGATGGGAAAGAGGGCGTCACATTACTTACTGGAAGTGTCGTAGTTGCTGGCATAAGGGCCAAACGAGCCGTAGTGTGCGGGCATCATGAAGCCGAGAGAGCTGTTGTCGGAATAAGCAGGTGGCGGTGGTTGATGGAATGGGCGGAGGGCGCTACCTCATGTCTTGGTGTTCGGATTGTTGGTGGTTGGGAGGGTTTCCGCCTTGTAGGGCAGCAGTGTGCAAGCCAAAGGGAAGGTCCAAGGATTGGGATGGATCAACTAGGTTGAGGCCGGAAGACGGGTCTGCGAATAGCGGCTCCTGGTGGAGAAGGTGCGTCCCGTAGTTCAGATCACCAAAGTCTTGGTTTGGCGGGTCGTCGAAGGATGGACGGGAGTGGCTCTGATCAGTTGGTTCGGATGGATGTGTCGAGCTGGGAGTCATAGTGATCAGTGGAAGGCAGGATCATACAGGCCGGGACATGCTCACCGTAGGCTGGATTCGGAGAATATGAAGCCTTATATCGGGGTATTGCGCGAAGTTGTGTCGAGAGATGAGGGCCAGGAGGATAGCTAAAAACGTTCACTCTGAGACTACAGGTGCCTGCGCCATGCCCAGGGGGGGCGAGGGTACATCATATAGATGTCTACAACATGGTCGAAGAACCAACACTCGGCTGGTTGGCTCCGTGCGCTGAAGGATTCACACCCCTGTCGGCAACGCTTGGGGGAAAACCCGTGCGGGCCATGATTTTAGTGTGGGCAGAGAAATATGATGCCACCCCAATGCCGGCTGCACAAGCATCGTGACGGGCAGGAGATTAGCTCGAGCTCTAGATAGGCGGTCGTCGTGCTGGCCGGCCTTATGGCTCACGCCTGACCGCACATCCAGCGCGCTGACTGCCCGCGGCGGGCGGTGTCACCATGACCTCTGCTAAGCCCTGGCGTTTACCGCCCTCGTAGGTCTTGCTGCCGCTACAGGCCCTTGGGCCAGGCACCGCGTGTTGGTGGCGCCCGTGGAGATGGGCCGTTTCAGAGAGGCCACGATGGGGAGACTGGGTGTTTCGATGGTCGACTATTTTTTGCGGCATCAGCTTGCAAGGGGCTGCGCCACTTTAGAACTAGAGGGCCCTGAAGGGCCAACATGGGGCCGGCTAGCAATGGTGTTGTAGGGCCGAGCCATGAGGTTCGCTTTCGCTTTTTGGCAGATCGACACGCTGCTAACGGCGGTGCGAGATGGCCATGGGAGAAGCCGTCTGCGATCTTCCACTTCCCCACCTCGGGGTACATACAGACGACGGCATAGCTATTAAGCGGGAGAAGGAGAAGGATGGAAGAGGAGGAGGAGGATTGGCTCGTCCGCCCGCACTCCCGCCCGCTGTCCGCTGCCCGCCCTGCCCGCCTGCCTTTCCATCCTCCTCCTCCTTCCCACTCCGACCCCTCGTCCTCGTCCTCCCCCCGTCGCTCATCGCGCTCCTCGCGCACTCCCGCCCGCCGCCTGCGCACGCACGTACGCCCGCGCTTCCCTTTCGCCCCGAGAATGCCCGTCGATCATGCGCGCGGGACCCTGGTCCATGGCATCAATTGCGACGCAGGGTGCGCCGTCGACACCGGCGCGCGCTCCCGCAGCGCTGGCACGCTACGCTGAGCCCAATTTCCTGGCAGGCGAGCGTGCCGTCGCCTAGCGCAGAACATCAAGCTTCACCAGGTTGCCCGTTTAAGGGGCTCCCGTGCCCGCCTGCCCATCGGGAGTCCGTCCACGTCACGACGCTTGATCAACATCCAACAGCCGCCGCTGACGACGGGCTCGTGCTGCTGTCTTCGGCCCGCGTGGAGCGTCGGCCTTCGCGCCTTTCCCCGCCGACAATCTGCGACGTCGCCGCGTGGCCGGCGCAGCCCAGAGAGCCAGAGCGGTCTCGCTCCAGCAGCCCTCCGGCTGCCCTCGGCCTACCCAAGCCAACCTCGCGATCGCCACCTAACCACCTGTCTGTCTCCGCCCGGCTGTTGCTCCCCGCCGCCCCAAGCACCCCCCGGCCAGCCCGCGGTGCGCGCGCGCCCAGCCAATGTCCTGATCATCTGATCGCCCATCTCTCTCTCTCTCTCTTTCTCTGACTCTCTCTCGAGAATGAGGCTTGCGGCGAGATCCCCTCGATTCGCCCGAAGGAATTGCGCAAGCGCCAGACCCTCTGCGATAGCGACAAGCCATGGCGGATGCCCTGTGCATGTATTACTCGTGATCGGCCTCGAAGGAGCCGCGTGGATTCGACATTAAAAGGAGATCAAGATGTCCAGATCGAAAAGTGTTCGCGCAAAGCCTCCGGTGCCTTTCAGGATGCGCCGGGGAGCCTCGGGATCTGATTTCGCGCATCCCCGCAGACCCATCCAACAGCCCCAAAGGCCCCAAAAGGCCCCGGCCCCCAACCGGGCCAGGCAGCATTTGCCAAAGTGGTCCACACGGCGTCCCCGACGCCTTTACTTCGCACGCCAAATTCAGGGTCTGCCTGGCGCCGCGGGCACTGCTTCCGCCACACAAGTGGCCCCTGTGGCCCCACGATGCATCGGACACTGCCCCGTCCTGCTCCACCTCGCGTAGATTATTCCATTGCTTCGAAAATTGCCAGTCGTCGGGAGACGGCTCAACGGCGCTGAGTCTATTGCTCCCCCTATCCCATTGCTGCCAATGCCCGCTCGAACGTCGCCACCAGCTCCGCCGTATCCTCAAGTCCAACGCTGAACCTGACTAGATTAGCCTCCACACCGTAAGAGGCCGCCTACATGGCATTAGCGAAAGAAGCTCCAATAGCTGTCAGGGAGGGCCCTTACCCAGTCAAGCTCCGTAAAATGAGCTAGGAGGACATAGGGCGAACTGCAATTGCGTCAGACCCAATCAAACGCTCCCTGAGTCGAATGAGCGGAACTTACCTCAAGGTGAAGTTGGTGCCAAGGCTGGGGCCCTTTGCGGTGTCGAGATTGTCGAAGAACGCAATTGCCTCCTCAGTGGAGAAGAAGGTTGCCGACAAGAGACCGCCATAGCCCCCGTTCTCACGTTTGCAACGATCGTAGAACGGCCGTGTCGGGCTGTGCTTTGGGTAGTTCACTTGCTTCACTACGCAACATGTCAGTCGATGCAATCTTCCCTGTTTGCCATGGTACTGTACCCTTGGGGTGCTGCATCAGTACGTCACAGATCGCTTCCGCATTGACGTTGATCCGTTCGATCCGAGTGACGAAATCGCGACTGTTGCGCTCAAGGAAAATAATATCTTCCGGCCAGAAGTTGTCCTCGTACTCTCTTGACCACGTCTCCTTCAAAGACTTGTAGTATCTGCCTTCAGGGTTGAGAACAGCGCTGCCACCCATGACATTGCTATCGCCGCTGAAGACTTTGGTCAGACTGCTGACGACAACGTCGGCAAAGGGCAGCACATGCACGTTCAGAAAGTTTCCAATGGTCTCATCTACGACAACGCCGAAGTCGTACCTATCCGCCAGGGCACGGATTCGCTCCAGATCGGGAGATTTGAGGAGTGGGTTGCCCGGGAATTCGCAGAACAACGCGAGAATTTTTTCACCACCTTCTAGACGCTTTTCCAAGTCATCTAATTCCTCGGAGGATCCGAAACCGTAAAAGACTGCTCCAGGACCAAACTTTTCAAGGATCTTGAGCGTGTCGATGTACGGGAAGCCATAGCTCACGCTCTGGAGCTGCCCACGTGCGGCCATCATGGAACGATGAGTGTTGAAAATAGCACTCATTCCAGAAGGGTATAGGTATACATCATCTTCCGAGAAGCCTGCGACTGGCCGGCTCCGTTCGTGATCCTTCTCAAGCTTTAAAGCTTCTGCCAGGCCCACATTGGCCGTCAGTGAGCCCGCAATCCTCCTCCTGATAGCAAGTTTAGCATTGTCGGCGAAGCCAACGTCTAGATTTCTGCCGAATCTCTCCTCCACGAAGCGCACCGGGTCTACGCCATCTGGTTCCCTTGGCGACATCGGGGGCGGGTGGTGTCCATTGGTCGCATCTATAGATGCCTTCTTCTGGTATCTCTTAGGGCCCTTGGACATACGTTGGCCTACCTTGGATTGTTCCACCAGTATGCCCTCCTCGAAGGCATTGTGGCAGTACTCAGCTCTGCGGCTGGATACGCCATCTCCAGAGTGTTGCCAAAACGTTTTCGCTATCTTGAATCTATCCTTGGGAAAGAGTACTGCTGAGACTCTCGGTTGAACACGGTTCTCCGGGTGACGGTGGTCCGGGTTGGGCACGAGATCCACGATTCGGACTTGGTTGGGAGTGAGTTCCGGCGCTTGTTGGCGGAAGAAATCGACGCAGCGCGCAGCACAGGCATGCGAGGGGAAGAGCATAGAGCTCTCATGAGGCAGGCCATGTGTAGCCGTGATGGCTTCGGCGAAGCGCGCAATAGACTTGTGTATGAAGAATCTACGTCTGTTAGTATTGTGATTGCAGTTTCGCGTTGATTGACATGCTTTACCTTGGATAGCCCGTCTTCATCCTACTTACCACGTCAGGACGCCCCTCCTCGTAGCCCACGTTGGCGTCCCATGTGGGCAACGATACGCTTACGGCCTAAATCTATTAGCAATGGCCCGTGTCCATGAGTGCAATGGAAGACGAACATGAGCCGTGAGCGGAGGGATAGTCTCTCCAACGTCATTTTCGAGGTTTGCGGTAGAAACAGTCATGGCGAGAGGTACCAATGGAGTTGCGATGGCTTTGCGATGAAGCGGAGGTGGAGGGGCAGGCTTACTAGGTAGTTTACTCATAGGTACTCCGGTCATCGGCGAGTCACGACGTCAAAAATTATGGAGGCCGTTATCGATAAGGGTCCAAATTTTTGGTTCGTGGTTGGAGGCCTGCGAACACTTCTTCCGCCAGATCCTCACCATGGCGCCCCCAGCAGTCAAGCGCAGGAAGCTCAGCCACGATTCCGAGAACGAGAGCAGCGACGATGATGTGCAGGCTGGCGTTGCCATCGGTGGCTCCGACATCTCCGACGACGACGACCAAAGCGAAATCTCGGGTGCCGACGTAGACATGGACGACGTGTCGCAAGACGAAGGCGAAGGGGAGGGAAACCAGAAAAAGGCACAAGGCAAGGCTAGGAAGGAGAAGCAGCAAAAATCGCAGGGCAACAAGCAAATCCAACCATGGCGTCGCGACGCTTCCGAGATGGCCGGCGCGTACACCGGAGAGGTTTACAAGTCAAACATGTTCAAACTGCAGGTGGACGACCTTCTGGAGCAGATCCGACCGAAGCACGGCAAGCGCGAAGCTTCTGCTGAGAAGGCGTTGCGAGAGCTGAAAGCAATTATCGAACAAATCCCGGCACGCGAAGCGCAAAGCGTGAGTACCCTATAACTGTGTTGCCGGCAGTTAAACAGTTGCTGAATGCTAACTAAAACATAGATTCCCGATGCAGAGAGAAACCTCATAAAGCAAAGCAAGGTCGCCGTTCCGTTTCCTCATCCCCGCCCTCCAAAAGATGCCAAATACACCCTGGAGTACGCTAAGCCGGCAGCAATAAACGCAGTCGGAAGCTACCCGCTTAAGACCCAGGCACGAACCGGCAGCGATCTGGCCATTGATCTTGTCGTGATGATGCCCCCCACGTTGTTCCAGGATAAGGATTATCTCAATTACCGCTACTTCTACAAAAGGGCATACTACCTAGCTTGCATCGCTTCTGGTGTTAAAGGCGCCAAAGGCCACGGTTTCAAGCTCACCTTCGACCATCTCAATGGCAATGAGCTGCAGCCCATTATCGTGGTTGAAGGCAGTGGCGGCGAGGATGATCTGTCCAATTTGAAATATCGGATCCACATTATCCCCGTTGTCCAGGATGGAACTTTCCCAGAGGATAAGACCCTCCCAGAGAAGAACTGCATCCGACCGAAGCAAACCGGCGATGCGCCGGCTTCTACACTCAAACCGACTCCGTTCTACAATGCTTCTGTCCGTGCGGACAGCCAGACGACCGCATATCTAAAGCTGATGCACGGAGCGGTAAGCAAAAACGAAGCCTACAAAGATGCGTGTCTCCTTGGACAAACTTGGTTGCGCCAGCGAGGCTTTGGCAGCCGTATCTGTGATGGTGGTTTCGGAAACTTTGAGTGGGCGGCTCTTGTTGCACTGTTGTTGCAAGGAGGTGGTCCTGGCGGTAAGCCGCTTTTCGCGGCTGGCTACAGCAGTTACCAGCTCTTTAAGGGCATGCTGCAATTCCTGGCCTCAAAGGATCTTTCAGATCAACCACAGCTCTACCAAGCGCAGAGCATCGCTTTACCTAAAGAAGATGGTGTGCCGGCGTTCTTCGATGGGCCGCGCGGACTGAACGTTCTTTACAAGATGACACCATGGGCCTACCAACTCCTGCGCTGTGAAGCCAAGACGACCATGGCATCTCTTGGAGATTCTGCGTTTGATCAGTTTGACGCAACTTTCGTGCTTAGGGCCGATCAGCCTTTGCATAGGTACGATGTCATTGCAGAGATCCCCATATCTGCTTTTGGTGTCGATCTTACCGCAGATGATCGCAACCATAAATTGGAAAGAAGCTACGGCAAGCTTTATCGCGTCCTCAAACGCGGTCTCGGTGACCGTGTGAAAACAACGTCGCTTGTCCTGCCTGGAGAAAAGCCATGGGCGCTCGGCTCTGCGAGAACGTCTCTGCCGCGCGATGCTAAAATTCAGGTTGGCTTCCTTGTTGACCCGGCCAATGTTGCACGAGCCGTGGACCATGGACCAGCGGCCGAGAGTAAGAAGGAAGCAGCCCTGTTCCGGCAGTTTTGGGGAGAAAAAGCAGAGTTGCGCCGCTTCAGAGATGGCAGTATCCTTGAGTCCCTTGTCTGGTCCAGCAAGGATTCAGACAGGCCTATATTTGAACAGATTGTCCTGTACCTCCTGAACAGGCACCTAGGAAAAGATGCGGCCGACAATGCCAGATTCATCGGAGAACACTTTTCTCGGCTCCTGGCGGGTAACGGTCAAGGCAGTAGTGATCTCTTCTTGCCTTTCCGCAAGGCCTTTGATATCCTTGAGCGTGACATCCGCTCCTTGGAAGGCATGCCTCTCTCAGCGCGTCATGTCTTCGCGGCCGATCCCCAGCTTCGATACGCCTCCATTGATGTTCCATTGGCGTTGAACCGCAGACAGCCGGTTGAGCTGGCAAACGTTGTGATTGAGTTCGAGGGCTCTGGTCGCTGGCCTGACGACCTGAAGGCAATTCAGATGACCAAGGTCGCCTTCCTATTGAAGCTGGGTGAACTTCTTCAAGAATCCGTTGACGGCATTACCACGCGCGTAGGTATTGAGAACGAAGGACTTGAGATAGTCAACCAGTCCTTTTTGGACGTCATATACCCATCTAGCGCGGCATTCCGCCTCCGAGTTCACCACGATCGCGAGGTCACGCTCATAGAACGCCGCCTCAAAGACAAGTCTCTTGATGCTGCCACCAGAGAGGCCTCTGCCTTGGCTCTGGCGACCTACAGGCGCGATTTCATTCGCATTCCTTCTCATACGCAGGCCCTACAGGCATTGTGTACGCGTCTTCCTGCTCTTTCTCCCACTATCCGCTTGCTTAAAAAGTGGTTTGCCTCTCATCTACTCAGTTCGCATTTTGCTCCCGAGCTCATTGAACTATTCGCTGTCCGGACCTTCCTGCACTCCTCTCCATGGGAGCCGCCGTCCTCGGCACAGACCGGCTTCCTACGCACGCTGTCCTTCCTTGCACGCTGGGACTGGCGCAATGAGCCTTTCATTGTCGATCTCGGTTCTGAGATGAAGACAGAGGACGTTACTGCGATAAATACTCGTTACGAGGCATGGCGCAAGATCGATCCTGCGCTCAACCGGGTGGTTGTCTTTGCAGCAACGAACCTGGATCCGGATGGCACAACGTGGACTGATCATGCACAGCCACCCAGGGTCGTCGCGGCGCGCATGACGGCATTGGCAAAGGCCGCCAGCCAAGCTGTCAAGGAGCAGGGCGTAGACATTGTGCCGGAGTCACTGTTCGTCAGCCCGCTGACCGACTACGACTTCGTGCTGAAGTTGCGTCCGGAGTTCACCAGGACTGGCAGAAACAATACTGCCAAGTCTGGAAAGGCGCAGTTCAAGAACTTGGTCTTGCAGTCGGACGCTGCCGAGGAAACGAGCCTTGTGGGCTTCGAGCCGGTCAAGCTGTTCCTGGCCGAGCTGCGAGAAATATATGGCCAAGCTATCATTTTCTTTTGCGAAGAAAATGGTGGCGATGCCATTGCTGGCTTGTGGAATCCTGCCAACACCGCTAGGAGGAAGTGGAGAGTCAGGCTCGGATATTCGACTGTGCCTGTGGCTGGGAATGACGAGACGGAGGTCGATGCAGATGTTAACAAGGAAGGCATCTTGAGTGAGATTGCGAGGATTGGTGGAGAGTTGGTGCAGAAGGTGGAGATCAATAGGCACTAAGTGCCGAGTGGAAAGCTTACCCTGTTGGTTGGCTTTGTAGATGTCGTTTTCTATTGCATGCTGTTTAGATATACCATATAGGAATATCATGGGCGGATGAAAATAAATGGTTTCAGAGCATTTTTGAAGTACATCAAGTTAGGGGCCACTTGAGTGACCTCAGATTCGCATTGTCACTGCCATACATATTCAAAATCCAGTACAAAAGTCGATGTAGTTTTTCAATTGCAAGGTAATTTCAAGAATGTCCGAAATGTTCTCTTGCGCATCGTCCACGGGCCTTGCGACCACCGAACAACACGCCTTCTAAGGTCGGACCAAGCAAACCAGCAATTAAGCCAGGCTTGCCCGGTTGTTTTCAATCTTCCAACGCTCCGTTAAGGACACTACTCTAGATCGAGTCGAATCCCTGCAGGACCCAAGGTCCTGCATCGCTGGGTGTATATAGGTTTTGCACTGAGATCAGGATTAATGGGTCAATCAGTTCACGAAATCACAGCATGGGAACCGTTTATCGCCAGTAGACGAGTCATGGATTCCTAATCCTAGATGACCAGCCGAATGTCTTTTTATAAGATCCGTCCCCTTGCACCATTCATGCCGTAGCATGAAAGCATTTAAGCGGCAATGGTGACCTCAACCTCAACACCGGCCTCGATGTTGATGATGATCTGCTTGACGACCTCGGTGGGGGCGTTCAGGCTGTACGGGTGTTAATCCTGGAACTTGGTCGCGAGGGCGCATAAAATATGGCACTTACTCGATGAGACGCTTGTGGATGCGCATCTCGTAGGTATCCCAGGTCTTGGAACCCTCACCGCAAGGGGTCTTGCGGGTGGTGACCTTCAGGTTCTTGGTGGGAAGGCGGACAGGGCCCTTGACGCGGAGGTCCTTGGTCTTGGCGCGGTCGATGAGCTCCTGGCAGACCTTCTCGAGGGACTGGACCTTGCGGGAGGTGAGGGTGATGCGGATCTTGTGGATCTTAGGGCCCTCGCCGAAATCCTTATCCTTGTTGTAAGACATTTTTGGCGATTCTACACAAGACGAAGGGTCAGTCGGGCTGCGGGAGGGAAGTGGTTGCGGCGCGCAATTGGGGAACGTACGATGACAGAAAATTCCAGTCAAGACTCGGAGTGTTTCTCGCGGTTACGTGATGACTGGCGGCTGCGGCTTGTCGTCGTGCTGGAGAGGAAAGAGGGTCTCTAGCGAGTGTGGTGTTGTATTTTTCACATCTGTGCCGAAATCTTGGCGCCCCTTACTGCTTTGGGACTAGCTCTTTATCGACGCCGCTCATCCATGCGGTCATCGGTGACCATTTGCGTGACGGGCAGCAACAAACACCACCGCTTTCTTTCCTGCAGGCACCTTTTATATGCCTGCTTGTCTCTTCTCTCCTCATTACCTCCTCTCTTCTTGCCCCCTTCGCTCCAAGATTCTAGAGCGACACCCCTCTCATCAACTACCTGGCCTCTTCGTGTAAGACGACTGAGATGACTCTTCCACCTCTTGCGCCCTTTCCGCCAGCGGCTCTCCGCCGTGATATTCAGCCTCAGGAATGGGAAGAATTCCTTGATGCCTACATAACGCTTGCACAATTGTACCTGCAACTGTCCCCCAAAGAATTTCCTTCAGCTGCTTCAGACGATGGGTCACTGGTTGCTTTCTTAACTTCTTATTTCCACGAAGCGGCCGGACCTGCAGGCAACGAGCTCCATTTTCATTCAGAGAAGGCACTAGGCTTGCGGAAACAATGTTTTCTATTGTCTCACCGTTTGCTATCTGGAGACCACGTGCCATCAAATCTTCTTCAGTGGACTTTCCTTGCCGATTTCAGCCACGTCTTCATTCGAAGTGAACGGCTAAAGGAACTTCTGGGCAGTCTCTCGCAAAGGAAGAGTGATGAGATTGAATCAAGTTTGCAGAAACTAAAGACGTCGCTCACCAAGACTCTGGATTCGAACGATCCAACGGCAGCCGACAATGACCTGAAGCGTCTTGCACCGTTATTACACACTTCGCCGGATGTCGGGGCCTTTTTTGTTGCCGGATCGGATTTCTTGGATTCCTTATGTGCTGGCTACACTAAAGCTACACCAGAATTCAGACCGAAGATTGTCGCAGTTGCACATCTGGGGCTGATTTCCCTTACTAAAGGGGAAAAACCGAACTGGTCCTCGCTGTCCGATATCCTCTACAGCCTGAAGAGTAACGCTGAGGCAAACTCTGGCCAATCCCTACTTTCCGATCTTGTTACCAATACACCTCTCCTGGCCCGTATCAGAGACACTGGTGCCAGTGACGAGGGAACGAGGGCGAAGAAATTGGCTGAATCACTGACTTCTTTCCGTCATTCGAGCCTAGCAAGGCCAAAGCGGCTTGTTCGCCGGAAGGTTGACAAGGGAAAATCTCGAGCTACGGGAGATGGCTACGGGCATGATGCGGAGTTTGGAGAAGTCCACGTACATCGCATGAGCCTCATTACTCAAGTGCAAGACCTGTTCCCACACTTAGGCTCAGCGTTCATCGTCAAACTTCTGAATGAGTACAATGACGACGTGGAACAGGTCACTGCTCATCTTCTCGACGACTCATTACCAGCACATCTCTCAGGCCTCGACAGGTCAGAGCAACTCGATCTCAGGACCCACGAGACGCCACTCGATATCGCTTCGCATCTCGTACCACGTTCAACCCCTCCACCTCAACGCCGCAATGTGTATGACAATGATGAGCTTGACCAGCTTACGGTCGACGCGTCTCGTCTGCACATCGGTCGCAAGAACGAAAAGCTCACCGCCGATGCCATTCTCTCCGACAAGGGAGCTGCCCCCAACAAGGCTTCCATTCTCTCCGCACTGGCGACGTTTGACGCTGACGATGACGAGCGTGACGACACATACGACGTGGAGGATGTCGGCGGTACGGTCGACAACGCAGAACCGGACGAGGACGCAGATGCACGGGACCGGAACGACGAAGCGCTGTTTAGAGCCTACTCCATGTCGAAGGGAGCTTTTGGTAGGGACGCGGCGACACGGCGATCCAAGGCACGCGAGGCGTTGAGGAGCGAGACGGGAATGACGGACGAGGCCATCGAAGGCTGGGCGGTGATGCTGGCGCGGGATCCGCGCAAGCTACGCAGGCTGGAGGCCAAGTTCAGCACATTCACGGGGCAGCAGACGGAGCTGGAGAGCACGAAGTGGCGCGAGAGCCCAGCCGGGTCAGGCGAGGACAGCGAAGGCGGGCCAGCCGGGCGTGGTGGCGGCAGAGGAGGCGGTTTCAGAGGCGGCAGGGGCAGGGGCGGGGGTGGAGGAGGAGGAGGAGGAGGCAGAGGGAGAGGACGCGGGCGTGGCGGCAGCGCCAGCGTGGCAGGGCCTTCGGACGACAAGGACACACAGGCGCAGCGGCAGAGGAAGGAGGCCAACAAGGGCTCGAGGGCGAACCACAACAGGCGCGACCAGCGCGCGCGCAAGATGGCGAGAGGAGGCTTCCCAGGGTAAAGCTGGGCAGCGCATGGCAGCTGAGGTCAGGTCGCTTATGCTGGTCAAGACTGCCCAGGTACGTTCAGGCATGACCCGGGCAGTGAGCTCTTTGTTGGAGACAGACATCAGGCCGCCTGCAGCGGACGTATGTACGTAGGCCGGGTTGCTATCCCGCCCTCTACTACGTACGAGGCAAGTCAGAAGGTCAGCAAGTCAGCACCAACGCACGAATCCGAGCGTAGGTATAAGGTTTGTATACAACACATATACGTATGCAAGGAGGTATCGGTAGTAGAAAATTAGTCCAATAGGCATGACCTTGTCAGCAACCTTACCTACCCACCAACCAACCAACCAACCAACCAACAACAAACCCCCCCCCCCCACAGCAACAGCAACATCAACAACCACCGGTCGCACAACAGCCCGCTTAGCCCGGCCCCAGCCCTCACAGTCAGCAGCAGCTAATCAGCCCAACGCGTGCGCGCATCGGCGACCGCAACCCTCCGGCGGGCTCGCTAACCCCGGCCGCCGATCCCGCCGCCAACGGCCATGCGCCCAGTCCACCCTATAGGTTAGTTGCTCGTAGTTATTAAAACGTCCCAACACACACGCATTAGTTATTGGCGCTGAGGCGGGCGTGCTCTCGCTCGCTCGCTTCGCCCGGTCGTGTCTCGTATCGCGTCGCGTCTCGTGTCGTCTCATCTGGTCTGGTCTGGTCTGGTCCTCTCCGTCTCGTGTCGAGGCCGACCGAGCAAATACGTACTCCGTAGATAGTGGACATTGTCTGCTGTTGCCGATCCGCCAATCACCATGCAGAGAATGGCCCGAAACACGGACAAGCCCAACGTACGTACGAGTGGTGGTGGATAGGTACGTCGTATATTGTATACGTATTGTAGGACCCGTACCTTTTAGCTACTCGTAGGTACTCTTACGTAGGCAAATCGCGATCCAGCAGCGCGAGCAGCAGCCACCGGAGCGGGTCCTTCGCTCTCTTCCTTCACCGGCTGCCCGTTGCCGTGCTGGCTGGCTGGCGGGCAGGAGTCAGGACGGACCGGAGGCTCCGGAGCGCGCGCCAAAGACGGGCAGTTCGTCCGCCGCGCCCGGCGCGCGGGGATCCCAATGGATCCATGCCCGCCCTCGTGCCAGCCAGTCAGCCACCCAGCCTGCATCCCATCCATCCTTTGGCTTTGTGCTAGCTATGTAGGCAGTCCGTACAGTTGCGTATCATGTATCATGGGCATTAACTAGGTATCGTGGGTGTCTTTGTCGTTGTCCTTTTTCCCTTCTCCTTCATCTGCGCCGTCTCATATCAGTCGCGCGCGGCGGTCAGGCATTCAGGCAAGAATCGAGACAGACTAGATCAGCGCTATATGTACAGTACAGTACAATACTATCCATGCACCCACCTACCTATATCACCACCCCTCCCACACCCAGCCAGCTATTGTATACTATAGCCTTTTCATTCTACCTACTACAAAACAACCTACGCACCAACTAACTGCTCACGCAACGCAACGCAATGCAGCAAGCCCGTGCGCCCGGCGCGCAAAAAAAAAAAAAAAAAAAACGACAAGCGAGCGAGGCCGCTTGGCCCTGCATGCATGCATGCACGCATGCGCTCGATCGGCTCACGGGCTCGCTCGCGCCTGCATTCTGGAAGCCCGGCTCGCTTACCCCTGCGCGTTTGATGCGCGCTGCAGCCGCGTGCCCACGGCCGTGGTCGGAGCCTGCAGGACGGAGACAGAGACGGACGGAGTGGATGCGTGAATGCGGCCTTTTTGACGCTGATGTTGATGTTGGGTTTGAGAGTGTGTGAGCTGGTGCTTGAGGCTCGAGCGAGCGTTTGCGCCTGCCTGCCTCCATGCATTACCTACCTATACTCCGTAGGTAGGTACGTATGCACAGTAGGTACCAGTAAAACACATCCTGTTGCACAGTCAAACGAGCACTGCATCCGCGTGTATAGGCAGGAAGTGTCTACCCAGTAGGGCACCTAACTTAAGCCCCTGCCCAGCCCGCCTACAAGGATGCAGTAAATTAGGTAGGCACGTAAATTAGGTGCTATGGCATGTATCCGTACCTAGCAAAGTAAGTACGGCACACACAATCCACACAACCCAACCCAACACATGCAGCTCATCTCGACCCTCGCTACTCGTAGCCATGGTAAGGTCCTCCTCCGGACTTTAGAGCCGCGCCTCTCGGCCGGCAGCCGGGAGCCGGTAGCAGCGTGTCTTTTCCTTTTCTTTTTCTTTCCTCCTCTCGCTTCCCTCCCCTCTCCCCTGTGCCGTGCCGTATTGTGCCGTGCGTGCATGCCGTGTGTGCAATGACCGACCGACTGCTGCTGCTGCTGCTGCTGCGGGGGCTGATCTTTATTTCCGCCGGTGTCGGGAGGGCCTTAGGCAGCCGCGGGCCGGGGCTTGTCCGTTTGGGTAGGAGCTACCTCGCGGCGTCGTCAGCGTCGTCATTCTTGGGGCCGTGATCCGGCAAGGGAAACTACGACGAGGTGGACCTTAGGGGGCGGGGCCATCAGTAGGAGAAATTTTTTCGTAAGAAAAAAAAGTACAATCCGAAATGGCTATCATAGAGCCTGTGACCATCATGTCCCGTCTCTGCGCCTGCGCAGCTTTTTACAGTCTTTCATGCTTGCTCAACCCGTCCGTTCATTATTACGCCATGCCACCGCCATACCATGCCATACCTAGCATCATAATGCAGACCCATTCTTTCCTCTTTCCCTTCCTTTCTAACCAGCACCTGAAAATGAAATGAAAACAATAAAGAGAAACGGACAAAAAGATCTTGCTTCAAATGCCATAAATCCCAATAAGTAAAATGCAGTAGTCGTCGCGTCGTAAACAGTAAAGGCCGTCAAACAATCAAACAGATGGTCGGGTTGGTGCAGCAGGCAGCAAGCATCAAAGAGCCGCAAGCTCTCCCAGTGCCTTTGCAAGAGCGCGTCGCGCTGCCAGCTCCGCCATCTCTTCCTCTTCGTCTTCTTGTTGTGGACGGTAGTGTCGTGCGACAATCTCCACGACGGCGCGGTAGACAGAGTACCTGCAAACAAAGTCTCGTCAGTCCAACAAACCCCGATGATAAACCAGCATAGTGGGAGCACTCACAGCAGTAGCCTCACATAGGCCGGCTCTCCCCTTTTCGGCTTCGAGACACCAAGGCCATTCCAGAACGCTTCTTCTGCCTCCTCTTCACCTTCTCCCACGACTGCACCAACTCCCATCAACACATCTCCCCACACAGACCCTCCCCATCCCAACAATCCACTTACCGCCCATCCCCTCCTCCCCTCATCAACAAGCACACCCTCCCTTCCCGTCATACCCACCACCAACCCTGCTTTTCGCACCTCATCCAAAGCACCCCGCCTCATTGCCTCTCCTACAGCCCCTCGCACAGCTGCATATGGCAATGCGACGAGCCCGTCCTCGCCGTCACGGAGTGCTGCTTCGAGCATACTGGCGAAGGCGACGGACCAAGAGCTGCTGCCGCGGCCAGAGGCGACGACAGAAGCAGGGCCGAAGGAGGTAGAGGAGAGAGCGTTGGCACGACGGAGGTAGGTGCCGAGGGCGTGGTTAATGGAAGTGAGAGCGTGACGAGGCAGTGGGTGAGAAAGATAGGAGAGAGGTGTGCCAGGGAGGTGGGTGCGGAGAAGATATTGTGATGTTGTGGCAGTGTTGGAAGCACTGATGCTGGCGCTAGTACCATTGGTGATAGCGGCAGAGGAGGTGGTGGCGTTGCTACTGATAAGAGTGGGCACAGGCAGCCCAGCTCCCGTCAGTAGCGGCAAAACAGCCACTTCGGCCGCGAGAGCGGTGGCCTCGCGTCTGAGCATACGCGTCGAAGGCGCAGGTGCGGACTTCAACACCAGCGGTGCTGCGGCAGTGTTGGCGAGACGGAGGAGGTAGACGCGGTGTGGAGACGCGAGGAGGCGCTCGACATGCTGGAGAGGTGGTGCTTGGGGAGCGGTGGTGCGGAGGAGGGACTGGATTGTGCGGATATCGAAAGTAGGAAAAGAAGGGGAAGGGTTCCGCTGGGACTGGAGGGCGTAGTTGTAGTTGTAGTTGTGGTTGTAGAAAGCACCGCTAACGGGAGGAGCTAGACGCTCACGCTCGCCAGAGGCGCTGGTGCTGGTGCTGCTGCGTGAGTGCGAGCGTGAGCTCATGGCCATGAGCGGAGGTGATGGGAAGACGTCCATCGGTGGTGGGAGGTGCATCGTGACAGCCATTTAGGGAGAAGGTGATATGTACCCGCCGGGGTAGGACCAGGCAGGCAGTAGACAGGGACTAGGGCGGTAAATAAAAAGGGAAAGAGGGTACAAGGCAGATAGCTGGTCAGATCAAACAGGATGGTCAGCCCGGAGCATCTGAAACGATGAGTGGTGATTGACTGCTGCTGAGGCGCGGGCGTGAAGCAGATAGATGATGATGGATGTGGAGAAGAAGGAGAAGAAAAGAGAGAGAGCATGCCGGCAAGCTAGCACGAGCTTACTACGTAGACAGGAAGGAAGGAGCATCCGGGGGAAGCGAGGAAGGCGCGGGCCAAGGGTCCAGGCGACAGCCCAAACCGCCCAAACCAACAGCCCTAGCAGATCTGCTCGCCTGATGAAGAGACACCACGCAGCCCGGCGCACCGAGTGCCATGGCTGTCCGCGCAGTCGCGGAGAAGTATATAAGCCCAGCTCCTCCGGCCGCGCGCTCTGCCCTACGGATCTCCAACTCCCTACATGAAAGCAGTGACGACGCCACCACCACTCTCAGTCCAGCAGTCGGACCGAGGCAGTCGCGTCGTTCGGCCATTGTGTCGAGAGGGAGGTTCGGCGTCGGCGGAGGTCAAAGAGGTTCGTTAGAAGCTACCGCATCGGGCTAGACCAGATCCGCGCGGCCGGACCAAGCGCACACGATGCAGCTGCCCACAGGGCTGATGCTCCGCCCGCTATACTTTCTTTTCGAATATACACGCCCGCCCTCCCTCGCTCGCTCTCGCATCTCCCTCGTTCTCCGTCGTCGCTCCGTCGCCCATTTAGCCTCTACCACTGCCTGAGCCGCCCGACGTGCCATTGCAATGTCACATCCCCTTGCTCCTCTCGCCAGATCGCTCGCATGCATCCGTGTTCCAGAAAGCGAAGCCAGCCAGATCTGTGTGGCTCATGTGGGGCTCCACCACACCATCCTTCCGTTCGGATAAAACCTTTATTTTGTCCGTCTTCCCCGGCCCCAGCCAATCCCAGCCCTGCCTTAAGCGATGTACGTGTAGGCCTTTGTACTTCGCCTCGCTTCGCTGTATGCTCATAAACTATGGGCGCTTGCTTGATGCACTCCGATCCCGGCCGAGCTGCCAAAAACAATCCATCAACCCGCGACTTCTCTATTCCGCTCTTGCGCCGGCTGCTCTCCCGCCGCTTGCTCTTCATTTGACCGCTCTTCTTGCTGCGCCGAGTCTGCTTGCTCCTTCGCTTGCTCCTTCGCCTGCTCCCTCGGCGTAGGCTCGTATATTTCCGATAGATTATATCTCTTGAGCCGTTCAAAATCTTCGCCCACCACGCTCATGCCGCACACATTCTGTGCAGTGGTCAGCTTGCGGC